ATTAGTCATTGTTTTGTAAGTCGATCGTACTGCTATACGACTGAGTCGTAAGGTCGTAGAGTCGTAGATAGAATATTTATATAAAGCCGATTCCTCGTAGATGATTACCTATTCCGTAGAATTTTCAAAAATTTATTCCGGCGGTCGGGGATTCCAGGATCCTGTCCCTGCGCCGGAATGGGAAAACCACATCTCTGCTCAATTCTGTAGTAACAAGATCCAGTTACAATAAAATGAAGAATATTCTCGACACGATATTCATTCCACTTACAGTCGATGGACCGAGTGAATCAATGTGATTCACGTTATTTATATTCCATATGAACCGAAAAAAAGCTATTAATTAGAATTTTCTCTCGTGCGCTGTTATTCTTATTTAACTTCCTTCTATTTATAAATGTTCTATGTTATAGTCCAACAGTTCAATAGGAAGTTTTCACATTTTTGCTTCGCTGATAAGTTTTTTAATAATTTTACGATGGAGCGTATTAGTGCCGAAGAATATCTGGCAATTCGTAAATAACACAGTGGTGGGGGACTACTACGTGACCTTAGGAAAGTGATACCTAAACCAGTTACATGAGAAAGTTCAATAGATTCGATTGACTTCAGTCTGAGAAGTAAACAGCTAATTAGCAAACCATTGGTGAAACAAATGATATAGAAACTGAAACTCAATTGACTGAAACTTCAACTACAAGGGAAACAGCGCAACAAAACTGGGTTCCAAAAAGAAGTAACAGTTATCGAATCGTCAAACGCGGAGAGCAATGATGCAGATGGAATTCAAACAAACAAAAAGAGCAGATCAACTGTGAAGCAAGAGAAACTGCAAAAAAGACAAAAACTTATGACTACTCGCATACAATAACAATAAAATAACATAGCGTTAGCTAAAGCCGTAAACTATTCATGTCTTTAAAATAACCATCTATGAAAATTACATGGCATAATCCATCACAGGCTCCTAAAATTGATGCAGTGCTGGCAGATCCAGCAAGAGAACTTATGTGTTCCATCATGTTAAAATACAGATAGATAAAGCAGTCAGAGGTGGGCAAAACCGACGATTCCCAAGTCCACGTCCAGTCCAAGTTCGAGTCGAAGTCCTTCATAGCAGTTTTTTTTCATAGAAATTTTATCCATATATTGACACATGTTTGACAAAAAAACATTACTAAATTAGGTTTTTAGATGATACTCATGCCGTTGTTCAACATAGTAAGTTTTAACTCCTTGGACTTCAAACGGACTTAATAAGAAAGTCCCCAAGTACAACTCCATCAAAAAGAAGCCTCTGGAGGCTTTTGCAACAACAATATAGATCTGTATATTAGTGCAGTCAGTCGTCAAAATCTTCTCAAAATTTATCGACTTGACTAATTAGCCGAAAACTATATGTGGTTTGCAGTACATGTTCTAATTACTACATAAATATTTTCTCATTTTAATTCTATCAAAAGTTTTCGATAAGATGTTGAGGTTGAAGAAGTAATACAATGGATACAACTAGTTTAATCTTCTGTTCCTGAAGCCATTAAACTATGTTAAATGTTTCGACGAGATTTATTAATCTACTGACAGATTTTAAAAATTTAATTAACTACAATGATGGTTTGACACGTCGTTTTATTGTTTTAAGTAAAAGACGACATTACGTTAGTGAATATGTAGCGCCTGCCACAGTTTCAGTCGGTCACAAGTGTGAGCAGTTGGCCTACTTTGAGAAAAAATGCCCTTTGCCAGCAACCCAGTGCAAATATTGTTCAAGTATCGTTGCTCCAATGCACCATAAAGCTGTAACGAAGTGTCAAAATATCGGAATTATAGTAGGTACAATAATCCTTGCTGCCCAAAAATTCAAGAATTTCGAATTGCATCTACTAAAATAACTCATAATAAACGGAAAGAATGTTAAAATTCATGTTCCTAACAATTTAACACGGCGGACAGCAGTGCATCGTCCAGTTGGAGCTACAAGTATCCAACCAGCATAACTACAGTTGCATCGGTTATCCTCACAGCAGAATAGCTAACAGCGTTCAACTAGTGCTCAAGAACGACAGCATAACACCATTAGCGCATGGCATAGTCGACGACATTAACAGCAGAGATCACCATCATTACACTTACAGTTGTCATCTATAGGACAAGAAAGTCAACAAACTTCTTCGCTCTCTCAGCTAGAGCAAGAGATAAGCAAGTCAGGGGTTTTTCAAGTCTAGTCAAATCTGACTTGACTTAACCTGACTTGGCTTGTCCAGCTCTGAGCACTATTACAGTCATCGGCAGAGCTCAACAGTCATTTCGATAACATACTTTCTCAAATAAAAGGGTTGGATGAATTTCGAACTAATTCTTCAGTCCGAAAAAAGTTTTCTTATACAAAATAAGCAGATCAACAAAAAAATACAGCTTTATGGCACTGTTCGAACCCAAATAAGTATACTCACATCGAAAGTAGAAGAGCTGAAAAATTCTCCGCATACAGTTTTATCCGCACAATCTACTCAAAGTACGATACAAGCTCAGGAATATCAACAACAATTGAATTACTAGCATATACCTGACGCACAGTTGTAGGTAAGGATAGAATATTAGAAGAATAGGATTCGAAATAATCCATTGAGATATCATGCTAGAAATGGACAAAAGAAATTAAACTACAAGATAATTTGGTACAGATGATAATCTTAGAATTCAGTGTAAGGAGAATTATGTACTGATACGTCAAAGTTGCCGAATTATTAGATAATCACCATGTTGATCACCTAACAATCATCACAGATGATCACTGTGGCAGTATTACGTGGAGCTGGAAAGTTAGATCTGCATAAGCTGTATGAACGTTTTTATCTAGATGGAACTAATGGATTTGGTGAAGTGATAATTCTAGTTCACCGAAGTGTTCACTGTAGTCCTTATTATTATTATTTATTTATTATAGGTAGATGCAATTAAGGTCAAAGATTCTAAGGAAATAATACTTTAAGTGTTCTTCTCACTACTCTTAGCATTTTTGAAGCACGATCTAATACAACCCAAAAGTGAGAGATACAACGAATTCCATTCCAGTTACGACCTACAAGTTCGCAAAAGATCAGATAATTAGAAAAAGCATTCTTGTGATCGATATGGTCGTTCAACAGCACTATTAAAACAATTACCAGTTAAATATTTCAGTATAATTTCCCTTCTTTTTAATCAACTGCTAGCGAGCGGTAAAATTCTAATATGTGGTAGACCACTGAACTACTTTTTCGAGCGAAGCACGGAACTTTTCCTGAAGTAGAAGACCTGCGTCTAGAGCCCATCGGGTCCATGATTTTTGGACCCGGACCCGGACCCGATGATAAAAATTTATTCAAACCCGGACCGGATCCGGTTGGTTAAATTTTTTTGTACCCGGATCCGCTCAAACGAAATTCTCGGATCCGAACCCAATAATTAATTCTTTGTGATTCGTGCCCGAATCACTCATTTGAGATCTATAATGCAAAATTCTAGTTCGGATTTGATAATCGATCCACAGATAGGATATCCTTTTTTTTCATTTTTTATGTTCGACAAGTAACATATTCTACATATTCTTTAAGTCATCCGATAGTCCGATAGCGATTCTATAATAATTAAATCAAATTCGTTCGTATTAGTTTCTGTCGAAGAATATAAATGTATTTAAAAAAGTTTCATTATTTCTTTTGTAGAACAACTATTTTATATTATAGTAGTCGTTCTCTTTGTTTTACTTAATAAAAATGAACTCAATGAAGAAAATGCACTGTTCGTTATAAGAGAATTGAAAAAGAAGAGCATGCTTGACGAAAATGGTATAGAAGTAGCATTCAAGATTATGGAAAGAATCCGAGAATATTCAGACAAGTTTTTCAGCGAAGCAAGTCTTATCGAATTCATTCCTAACGCTGTGAATGATGAATTAAAGCACATCATACAAATAGCTCCACGTCTGATAGCTACACGAAACGCGTGTACACATGAAAAAGCAAGTTTATGTTGGACCGAACTTGGTATTCTACCTGAAAAGTTATCATTGTTAAATGAAAATATTCTGAAACAATTTAAAATATGTCAACAACCAGAACTAGAAACAATAATACAATGTATAGGAAAAGTTTCCCAACGGTTTACAAATAATAATGAGATCTCTGAACAGAATTATTTAATTTTATTAGACTTATGCCAAAAATGGTGTCAGGTATTAGTTGGACTTGATAAGGAGAATAAAGAAAAACTGCGAAATATGAAATTCATACCTATAAAGAGAAATAATGTAAATAATACGCAAAACGTCATCTTAGTTGGACCGAATGATATTTTTATACGACACACACATTGGCATGATACTATTTGGCCATATTTATTTGCTATTGATGCGAATGATGATGATTTCAAACGAGGTATTATAACATTTTTACGTGCATTTCCTGTCGAAAGTAAACCTTCATGTAGTCAGTGTATTAATGTATTGAAGAATTTATACGAAAAAAGCCAACAGGAAGATTTGGATCCAAATTATCGTGAAACAGTTATAACAGCAATCTTATATTATATGACATCATTGACTGATGACAGCATTCCAGAAGCGAAGAAAGCAGTAACAGATCAAATCATTTATTTGCCAAACCTTTGTTCTGTTCTTACATCAAGTCAACAACTGTACTACGTTGATCAACCAAAATACAAAATACTCATTAGTAAATGTGAACAACTAAAACAGTTATGTTTTTGTCACAATTTATTTGATAATTATTCAGCTAGATCATATGGTGATGAACGACTCAAACAATTAGAAAATGACTGCAAAGGAAACAGAATTAAAAAATATTTTCCAGATTTGCGGCCTATATCAGACATATTAGATGAACGAATTAATGAAGATTCTGTAACAGATGATTCAACAGAGATATCATCATTGACTGATACAATTCATACAAGTGATTTTTATCGTGCCTGTATTGTACAACATTTTTTTCGTACAGAAGCAACAGAAGAAAATACTAGAAAATTAATCCAATTTCTTAATGAACTGGAAATATATATAACAACACAGCCGATTACAGCATCAATATTCAATAAAAATACGAATCAAATGATTGATGGTGGTCAGATTGAACTTCCGAAATACTTGAAAACGATATCCGCTGATGAATGTGCGACTTATATTTTATATATTTATAACATGGAAAAGAATAGCAGTGATGCAGATTTGTGTGACGAATTAACCGAAATAATTCAACAACAATGTTATGCTACTTTCTCTGAGACGACTCAAGAAGAATCAGTTAAACTGCTTAAAGTTATTCGTGCTATAATACGTGGTAATGAACAAGACTACGACAAAATATTAGATAAACATAATATTAACGAAGGCGGCGCAATTGCATTTGATAATTTAACATTTCTACCAAAACTAGGCTCATTAGTTGAATTAGCCGATTTACAATATCTTGTACAAGGAATTTATTCTTGTGCACCAGATGATTATGTTGCCCCGGAAGTTCACACAAACGGTGATGAAAATGAAACTGATGAAGATGTGGATAACACGACACAAACAAACGCATATCCACCAGAATATCGACATCCTCGAATTAAGAAGCTGGCTAAAGATCATGTAAATGATTTTGAGAAAAAATATGAAGTTGAAATTGAACCACGAAAATATGAAATAATTAGTGCGGTTTATCTATATAGATTCAATAAACCATCAATGAAGGAAATACAACTAAAGGGTAATGATGATGCGAATAGTAAACAAATCCTGCTAGCAAATATGCCAAGTACAGAAAACGATGAAGCACATCGATTTACATGTTTAGAAGCATTAAAAGAACAAATTGATAAAGATATAGAAAACATTAAGCCCTTAGCAGCAGAAGAACTCCAAACTGCTGTTAGACGCTTACAGTTGCATTATCATCCAGATAAACATCCAAGCCAAACGGCTCTATATGTTCCTGCATTCCAATATTTGCAGCAATGTCTTCATCGCTTACTTAACCGAAGCAATGCGTCAACTAATCAGACTCATGCAGAACAAGACGGACATTTTCATTTCACAAATTTTTCTAATTCTGGATTTACTTACGCTGGTAGCAGAACAAACTTTTCTTATTATTTTGGTTCAGCAACACGATCTAACAGAAATAAGCATAGGAAGAAGAAAAATCCACAGCCATCTGTTGCATTAAAATGGTTATCGCAAGCACGATATAATATGAAAGAGCTGCGGGAATATCAAAAACGTGCTATTTATTTACGGTGCTGTATTAAATCCTACTATGTAAGACTTCCATATTTCGAGTAACAACATATGAGTGTTTTGTGATCTTTAGCTGCTATACAAATCATGCCGTGTGCATTTTTGAATCTGTAGATGGCAGCTATTCTCAGTTATACAATGTAATAAGTAATTGGGTTAACCTCGGCAGTAGCAGAAACAACAATTAAACCCTCGCTGTTTCAAAGTATTAACTTTTATCTTTCCCCACTTCTCCCAAATACACAGTAACTCTATGATTCTATCCATTAATTTGGATAAGCAAGGACGCTGATTCCGAATATGATAGTCATTTGGGTAGTTATTGGTTTTTCAGTCCAAAACCTGAAACAGAGATCCTTCATTCTGTGAGAATTCAATTTTTGTTTTCTTGAAAACTGTGTTTCGACAATGCCAAATTGCATAAGATATCAACTTCTGTATTTCTATCAATTTTTACTCACACCATATATCTTAATTATTACCAGACATATTTTAGAGGCTCTAAAAATCATTTAAAAAACTAACTATTTCCTGCGAACCTTCATAATCAGTTAAAATTAAAAAATTCACACCTCGGTTAAAATACGTCCGGTTAGAGCTAAAACTGCATGTACATATACAGCTTGATATGTTATACAATCTGGCATTGTAAAGACACTGCTTCAAACTAATTTTAGATTTTAAAGTCTTTAAAGTCGATTTTTGAAAGTTCAACATAGATCATAATGGCTATCATATTCGGATGCAGCATCGTCGATTACGTATAATTAGGATTATATGCTATATATCAGTTACCACGATTTGGTCAGAGCCATGAAACATCTCACTTTGTAGACAAATGTTTGCTATACAAAATGCATTTGTTAAATTTCAACTGACAGTAATGACAGCAGTTAAATTTCAGGCAAAAAAACGAGTAGACGCTTAGGAATGGTTCCTCTTCAGTAACAATATATTTTCCGATCGAGAAGGCAGTATTCCCCGTTCAGAAAACTTTTCCGATCGAAAGCGTTATGACTATGCTTCATCGGGCAGATTCCTGGTAGAATTCTTCGTCTCGAAAAACGACAGGAAGATCTGTGAAACAAATACATGTGCCTAAATGTCATCTTGCGAAGATATTTTATTTTTATTAATCTAAGATGTTCCTCATGAGATTTAGCTCACTCAAAACTTGTCAGTGCACAAGCGAAACTAGATAGCATAATGTCTCTTGCTTCCTAACCTCGCTTGTTTAAAATTTTTTCATCTTATGTTTTCGTTCATTTCTAGGTGGCACTCGATGTTATTTATTGTGTTATGATAGCGGAAGACTGGAATAGTGTAAAACAACCTTGTACACTATCTAGGCTAACTGCTACTTGTAGTAATGATTCTGTGAAAACTCTATGTACGTCATTATTGATAATTGTTGGTGAATATGAAAAAGAATGGAAAGAAGATTTTTACAAGAAATATTCTTCAGGTATTTAAATTAAAGGCATATAAACATCATTCAAAGAGTGGAGTGAAGAAAAAAGTTATGTAACGGGCGCGCCAGAATAAATGACGATATTTCTAGTATTTTGACCATAACTTGGTTTGGATTTGTTTTCAACACTCGATGTTTTTTTTTAAAAGATACGTTGCGAAATACTCTACAAAATCATACCTAAACTATAATTTCAGAACTTCAATCACGAAACCTAAACCAGCTAGATGAAAGTCGAAAAAAATGAAAACTTTCTAAACTCAAAATTTCATACGACAATTTGATGCGAAAAAATTTGAAGTGGAGCTAAAAGATAGAGTGAAGTCAGGGCTACAAAATGGTTAATTCCGTTATTCGTACTTTCTAAACGTTAATACAAGAAATCATTTTTGAGTTTAGAAGGTTTTCATTTTTTTCGACTTTCATCTAATTGGCTTAGGTTTCGTGATTAAAGTTCTGAAACGACAGTTTAGGTATGATTTTGGAGAGTATTTCGCAACGTATCTTTTAAAAAAAACATCGAGTGTCGGAAACAAATCCAAACCAAGTTATAAGCAAAATACTGAGACCGCCATTTATTCTGACGCACTCATTATTTCAAATGTCCGGCTAATATTCCGAAACAATCAGTTAAGAAATAATCTATACGCATTTAATATGTTTTTACCATTCAATTTGTTGTTTATATGCCTAGTCAGTTGAAGTAGTTTTATTGTTAGATATTTTTGTGAACGGCTCTGTTCACGAAAACGAATATAGAATTTACTCCAGCCCGAGTTCAACAAATGATCATTTTAGTATGTGATCTGTTTTTACAGCTGCTTTTTCATTTTTTCACGTTTCAGTTATCAGTAAACTATTGAACGCAATTATCTTTTTTTTTGCCTTGATGTTTAGCCGATGCACACAGAGCTTATCAGCTGGCAGAAGAACTTTACAAAGAAGCTAAAAACGTATTTGAAACTTAACCAAAAAGTTATCAATATCAGTGTCATTTTTCGATTTTATTTACCAGTGCCAAATGCTACACAGTGGAATGTGAAGTGTTGCTGTGCAGTGTGGGATTATGAAACATGTCATTTTCTTCTACTTAGGGTTAAATCAAATTATTATGACATACCCGTCTTTTTCTCCCAAGCTTCATAGCACTTTTTCAGAAATATATTTTACACTCTTAGACATATTGTTAGTAGTGCATTGTCAACATTTTTCATTCATTTATTCTTGATTTAAGCCTTTTTTTTCTTAGTTTTTGAATCTACAAGAAACTCTTAGAGATTCATATAAACTCTCATAGCTAACTGTGAGAGAACAAGTTTGAATATATATGCCTGCAGGAAGCGACAGATCGAAACCACAAGGAAGCATAAAATGGCAGCCAATCAGGGAGACGAAGTCATTGCGCACCATTAAATTACTATACACAGTACTGAGCGTGTTATGTTTTAAAACATTTATAACATTATCATCCACATCCTTCGAGATTCAACCGTTTTGATAAAAGAATTACCAGCCTATTTTGCCAAAGATCAAATGAAAAACGAGACAGAAGTTACCTAAGCTTTTTTTCAGTCAAGCTGTTCGTTTTTATTTCCATTAGAATGTCCCTATTCTGCACGTTCTTTTCCACCGCATCTTAGGAAGCGAAGGACAAAAAAACTTCTCATCTGAAAACAGCGTTCATGTACGAGAGACATATTTTTCATTCTTTTCATTAAAATTCTTTGTGTAACTTCATTCTCAGGATATTTCTAGAAAAAAAACTTGTTTACCTGAGAGAACTGCACTGGGATTGTACCGTTTCGAAAAAAAACAGTTTGCGAATAAAAAATTCCGAATCATATATTAGATAGTACTACTTCCGAGATTTATGGAAAAAAAACTTCTCAGCACTTAGTCGTATATTGGCTGAGAAATTTGATTTTTTTCAAGAGCTATACAATCTCTGAGTATTGTCGGTAAAAAATAGAATGAACCTGGATGTTTTTTGAATAATATTTGACTAGAAAAGCGATAGAAGTTTGTGGTCTTCAACAACTGAAAGCAAAGACTTAACCGCATCGTTTTATCATGAAAATCATTTCGAAACTTTTTCCAAAGTACATTTTCCAGAGGATTTTTAGAAAATTAAGTTATTACTCAAGATCTTAAAATAGTTTTTTACACGGGTAGACAGTCCAAAGTATCAGCTTCAAAATGAGAGGCAACCGAGACCTTGATTTTCAGGGATTGGGTTATGGTATCGGATTTCAACGGGCATCCAGTGGCTAGGAGTAACCTTTAAATCGTATGGATCATTGGTAATCAGTCACGCTGAATCTCGTGCCAATGTTTGTTTTCACTATTACTGTATTATGAGTGTCAGTTATACTCAGTTTTGATCAAGTTACAGATAGAATAAATTTCGTAGGACATTTTTTATGTAGAATGCGCTTTCTCAAGGACAAAGGGGTATTGCTAAAAGACGCGAACACCCACGAAGGCCCCCAAATTAAAATTTGAGTTAGCCAATCGATAGAGCTCGTCGAGCTCAGTATAGCACTCCCTAACGAACACTCCAAAATTTTTTTATAGTTTCGCTTTTTAAGCATGCATTTTGAATGAACACCCATGAACACAAAGAAGAAAGGGTAAGAACACTCAAAAAAGTGCGCCAAATTCATCTTCAGCTTATTCTGGGCTGAGGGTGAGATGCGGGTGAGTCTACCAGTACCTCATCGATTGGCTAACTCAAATTTTAATTTGGGGGCGTTCGTGGGGGTTCATGGGTGTTCGTGGGTGTTCGCGTCTTTTAGCAATACCTGGAACGAAGTGTTTCTAAAAGCTCATTTTTTATCATATACGAACCGTCCAAGAAGGAAAAAGCGTAAAAGTTTGAGCTCAAATGGATTACTCATCATCGAGTTATAGACAAAATAATTTTTTAAAATCTCGTCGAACGTTTTGTGTGAAAACAACAGGGTTTGCTGTTAAACACAGAAAGGAAAAATGTCGAAAAGGAAAATGTCGGAAAAAAAGTAGGAAAACGTCGAAGAGGAAAACATATACATAGAAAACACCGAAAGACATGATGTCGAATTGGAAGGATGCTCAGCAGGAAAAGGTCGAAAGGGAAAGATCGATTGGGAAAATGTCGAGAGATATTTTTATTGTTAATATACTAGATGATAAAAATAATTCCAATTAAATCATAGAGAAAAGAAAAATGGACGTATATGCCAGTTCCTGATCTCATTTTTTTCACCCTCACCCTCACCTCATCAAAGTAGAGAGCGAACGCAAGAGAAAAAAAATCTATTTTCTTTTATAGTTACATGTGTGCCAATGCTTACATTGCGATATCTTTTGAAGAAAGAGACAACTCCTTCTTTGCTAGTTCTCTAATGTAAAGCCGTAGAATGACTGGATTAAATACTATCTACATAGACGATCACCCTCGATGGAGAAAGTTCAATCGACGAAGATAAAGGAATGATTCTGTTCTAGTAACAACCAATAACAACTGTGAAGATAAAGTAACGTAAGATATAGACATCTTTCATCTACATTTGACTTTCGCTATTATCCTTTGGACATTTTCCTTCTCATTGATTAAACATTCGCTATTTGTCTTTTCGACCTTTTCCTACTTTTTTCCCGACATTTTACTCTTCTGCGTTTTCCGCCAATCCGAAAACAACACTGTATAACATATTCAAACATGGTTTTTAATGAGATATTAAAACTTCGAAAAAAACGTTTTTTTAGCAAAATGTGGAGCTACTCTTGTTCTATTTTACTGTCTATTTAACAACTTTTTTTTAATCATCTATGTCGTATGGAGAGTGTCTTGAAGTCTCGCAGGACAAAATCTGGAAAAATGTCTGTAACGGCAGTTTTTTCTCTGCCTTTTATGGAAAACTTAACTTCACTTAAAATCAAAGTAAGGCGCCGGTAATTCAAAATTTCAGTACTTTTTATTTTTCGTTTAAACACACATATTTGGATTCGTTGTATGCTGCTGATTCCGAATCTGGCCTTATTTTTTGATTTAAACAAAGTTTTGACGGAGAAAAATCAAAAATTGTCAAAAACTCGAAAAATCTATGTTTTCCGAAAAATTGCCACAAAACTTTTGCTTTTCATTTTATGAAATTTTCGACGTGATATTCGGATTCCTCGTATGAAAATGAGCCTAAAAAGGTTGTCTCGAGCTCGATTGCATACAACGTCCTCCCTATGCAAATCCAAGCGGCCTACACCCTTTGCTTGCACTATGGAAAATGGCAAAGCCTACTAGTTTTTTTGCTGAATACCTAGAGACTTCATTCTTGCTCCAAAAGAACCGCCTTTCGACGCGCAACAAATTTATAGCCTTTGATTTTTTGAAACGTGTTTTGGTGAAAAATACTTCCGTGTACTATATGCACATCTTGAAATCCTTCAAGGGATTTTTGAATAAAAAACGCATTTTTCACTCAAATACATTCATATAGGTTAAAAACCATTACGAATTACATGGCAATGGTTTCAGGATCTCTAAGAGGTTTCCAGAGGATCTCTGAAAACCTTTGTCAGCTAAAAACCCAAATTACTATAAAATTTGATCGTTTACTAATTCTTTTTATCTTTTTTGTGTTTGTCGAACTAAAAAATGCTTGAATATCGATACAAAGTTCAAAAAAATACAGTTCTTTGGAATACTAATAGAAAAAATCGAAATAACTGTTCAGAAATATACATTTCAATCATCTAAATTAGCATTTGTTATTTTACGATGACTTATGATTTTATCTTTGCACAATCCGCTGAAAAACATCGTTAGAACTTCTCGGTAATCTTTTCCTTCACTGTAAGCCTGTATGGTTTTCCATTCCAAGCAATATATCCGTAAAGAAACGGATCAGAGTTTTCAAAAATTGATTATTTTGATGCCCGAAGCAAAACAAAATTTCATCGATCGAGAAATTCATTTAAAACTGTTTCGTCGATTTTGGAAAACCATACAGGCTTACAGTGAAGGAAAAGATTACCGAGAAGTTCTAACGATGTTTTTCAGCGGATTGTGAATAACATAATTGAATAACATAATTGTGTGAACATAATTGTGAATAACATAACACATAATTTGAAAGCCCTGTTTTCGGGCTACAAATCTTCGGGATACTCCAGGATTTATGAGAACTTTTTGGGCTACATATTGTTAGGAGTATGACGCTATGGTGCACGATTAACCGTATGGAATTGTGCCAACTAAAGGAATAACGGCACTATGAGAATTTTGAGATTCGCTGAAATTATGAGAATTACGGCAATATTGAACATTATATTCTCAACTCAGATATAAATCTCTAGTAGCGGACAATCTTTTTCTGCCGGGCCTCGATCCACATCCATGCGAGTTAACATTCTTTCTGGCATCGGTGCGTTATATTTTACAGTACCAAGAAGGGTTTCTTCTCAGAATAAAAACTCAATCTGGTGTTTTCAAACATATTATATGTTTAAAAATATTAAGTAGCATTATTTCTTTTTCGTTCGTATCTTACTAAATCGTTCTGACTTAGTGCCAGCCATTTAAAAGAACATGGTGTTTAATGATCATCTTTGCAGGATGTCCCGGAAAGAAAAAGAGAAGCAAAATTTCTAATTGAGCCTTTTCCAAATACGAATAAGTTCTTGAAAGTTTAAGTCCAGTCCTGATCAATGAAGTCAAAAAATTTCCATTCCATTCCACATCTATCCCAGAACTGCAGAAAAAGTTGGCTTAGCTTTTCTTTCTCTACATTAGTAGGTGTTTCAGATCATCTCTCTAAATATTCTCACTCTCGTAATTAAAAAAGAATTTTCTATTTTTCTCCCTTATGATTAGCCTATCCACAGAATATCCATCTCTCTTAGCCGTTTTACTGTATTGTGAGCACAGACATACACAGTACCATTTGGTCAGGTCCTAGACTACAAGATAACGCTGGTCTGCACTCGCTAGATTCTTTGTCTTTAGGAACTTATATCAGCTCCCATGGGTTTGAATCAAGGTCAGCGCTCTGACGATCGGAGGTGAGCTGGAAATATTCTTAATCAATTCGCCATGATACACTATCTATATTCTGTAAGCTTTATTATAAAACTCTGAACCCATTCCGTGAATCCGTTCCTTTTCTTATTACTTAAGTAGCCAGTGGCGATAGTTGGCACTAAACACAACGTGCAACGATTTAAGTCGACTTAAACCTAGTAAACGTATACAATCGGAAACTAAACTGACCCTTTAAACATAAACCCCTCTTCTGTGGAATATCAGTGGTTCAAGTCTACATGAACCGTGA